CACTGATGATTATTATTTTTTTCACACTTACTTAAAAATATACATATTAATGCTCTCATACTCGTGAAAAATACGCAGCGCACACTGAATAATACTAATTTTTCACACATTATTAAGAATGCCGCAGTGGCGCACGACGATGACCGCGCCACAATTTTCTACAGATTCCCGAGCGCGGATAAACTAAGTTATTTTTATCGAACCACCATCCGCATTAATATAACTTCGACACGTTTACAGCACGCGAAAGCTCGAAATGACCGACTCAAAATAAACACCGAAAGGAAAGGAAAGCGAAGGATATCGGAGGACAAGGGGCCTCGTTTCAGGGTGCAGCAGGTACCCGAAACTATTCACGCTTCGAAAAGTATTTGGGTCGACCATTTGACAGGTTGTAGAGGCTGGTTATGGGTTTCAGGGTGGTCAAGGACCAAATTTATTATTTTACGACGTGGCCCCCCCACCCCACGTGCCCGACCACTATTTTCGCGCCTTTTCCCTCCTCGACCACGGCCAACCCCTCCCCTCACTCGCGCACCCTATACATTTTTACGATCTCATTCAGGTGTCAAACTTTCCAATTAACGAACATGGCGCGGGGAACAATGAGTCGGCAGATCCGAATTTTTGCACGTTCACGATCGTTCCCGCCTTGAAACGGGGCGGAAACGGATCCGAAAGTTGTTTTTTCGCGGCCCGGTTCCTGCTCTCCCGACCGTTCAACCCAATTTTTCAACTAATAAATAGACCGAGGAAAATTTATACATTTATGGAAAATTTGTATGTAAATAAATCCACAGAATGTGAATACGAGCAAGGAATTACGTATTATATTGTAAAAAAGGTGAAATGAATTTTTATTCAATTCCGTTTTTGTATTTGTGCGTTTATAGAGATTTGAATTAGCATGGATTGGTATCTAGAATATAAGAGAAGATTTTTTTTTATATTTGTGTGTATTTTTCGTGGATACAATGATCGTATGCAGATGCGATTAATTGAATTTAGTATATCGGTGGTGGTGAAAATCTGGGTTACACTTAATAAATTATATTTCTCTTTTTCGTGGAATAAAAGATTTTTTTTGTGAAATAATTATGACGAGAGTATCCGCTTTCATTAAACGTTTATCTATATTGACTTTAAATAAAAACAAATTAACAAATGGAAAAGCTCAAAATAAAAATGGTTATTTTTATGGAACGAAAATTTAACCAAGATTCTTTTATCCACTTATTCGACAAATTTTGATTGTAATAAAAATAAGTGAATAATTAATTTAACTTTGACGTTTTTATTCGAGATTTCTTAATATTTTCAAACTTTTGGATGGTAGAATAGACTTTTAAAGTGTTCGTAGCTACATGTTTTTATTCCATAAAAAAATTCTTAAGCTTATTAGGCGACTAAGAAAGGTATTAAGATGTAAATATATATATAATAAAATAAAAAAGTTTTTATATAAAATTGAACGAATCGCAGAAGCTATGCGTAATATTCGTAAATGAAAATTTCTTATTCGATTTTCATTCTCGTGTGATTCTCTTTTCAAGAAAATTATTTCTTTGAATTTTATAATTCTTGTAAAAGCTTAAATGATCGCGTCTAGAAAAACTAGAAACTAGAGAAGAGGAATCTTTTACTTCTCGAAATAATGACTTTTATAAATTAAATACCTATAATATTTTATTAGGCAGATTAAAAATAATTGTTACATTGAATGAAAATTTATTTTCTAGATTTATTGCATCTTCTTTTTCAAAGACAATATTTTTCTGATTATATATCATTTATGCCACGTGATTTATACTAAGATTTTTTTATCGTTCTACAATTTTAAAACGCTTAAAAATATTTTAAAATATCTACTTGTCAAAATGCCTAACACAAATGTATATAAAACTATTTAGAATATTTATCCATTGCCTGAATATCATCCACTGTCAAATATCATATGCACGTCAAGCTTAAGTTGAATAATGTCTCCATCCATTGTTTTATTATAACAATGCAAATTGCATATTATAACGAATTATATATGAATTCGAGTGATTTTTCAAGAGTTAACCACGACTCCTATATATATTTTTATCTCTTAACATATATTTATTTATAAATATTTACAATTTTCAAATTTTCTAAACTATTCGATATTTAATTTCCCATTGTTAATAATATGTATACGAAATATTATACACGGAACAAAAGACGTTAATGCTTGAAAATACGATTATTCGTGTGAAAGGTACTTCGATAATAATACGTTATAATGAGAATATTTACTACGTTGTCTTGATGAGCCTCGGTTCAAGACATTCGAATTGCCCTAATTCCGTGTGTGAAGCCCGCCGCGAAACAACGGCGGCTCGAAACTGGCAAACCAAAATAACACCCAACAGCAATATTATACCTGTGGAAATATTTTATAACCGACTTGCATCCACGCCAAAGTAAATTATGTTATCGATAATATACGTCGCGATAATGGTAAGTCGTTGAAAATAGTCCGTTACTTCGACTACCTGTATTGAGTCATTCTCAAATATAGGTATTACGAAGATATCTAGAATCTACATCAATAATGATAATATTATCGATGATTATAATTCCCATGTTTTAAAATTTTCTTGAAGTGTATAATATATTTAGAGATTTAGAATTTTTCCCTTTTACAAATTTAGAATAGCCGTTAAAAGTTTTTGGTATTTATATTAACAATTTTTTTCGACAATTGTGTAATGTTTGACGTTTCAAATTCGTTCAACGGTCAATTTAACAGTACAGCATACGTAATACAATGCTTTAATCATTTATTGAATAAATAATTTTCAAAAAAAAATATTAAAAAACCTTTAAAAAGCTATCAAAAAAAAAAATGATAAAATTATGTAATATCTACATCTCATTTGAGATGTTTTTATAAAGAAAATAAAAAGAGAATGATCCGTTTCAATAGAAACTACATGCTTATTATTTAACAATACTAACTAAACTGTAATAATTGAACGAGAAAGACAAACTCGACATAATCACGAGAAAAACAGCAAAAATTAATTTCTACCTTCCCTGCATTCCCTCAACACAACTCGAAGTTCCTCCCAAAATAATCAGTTTGCCCTACACTCTGCGAATATATCTCGACCCGAGATGCTGTTCCCCGAGCATTGAAAAAGCAAAGAGAATAAAAAAAAAAAAAAAAAGAACGCGTGGAAAATAAACGCCGATCGCATTGACGCCGGCGTATCCCGATAAAGAAACGATTCCTTCTCCGGCCCGCCCTTTCGCCCCCTGCTTATTTCTCCCTCTCACCTTCCCAAAGATTAATGGGGTGCCGAGTAAAAGCAATTTCGAGCGGGGACCTCGTGCGAATTTCGTTCGAATCCCCTCCCCCAAAATAGAAATCGAACCAGAAGCGAAAAAAGGCGATCGAATCGGTTCCTGCTTCGTGTGGGGCGGTGGTGGAAAGAGCCGACCAACGACCACCACCAGAAATCGTAAGCTCGCCACGCTCGATAAGGAGCCAATTACATTTTAGCCGATCCTATCTGTCCGCCAGGAGGCGCGATAGCGGCGGCAAACTAATTGGCCGCGCCAGAAAGGAGATACACCGGCGATAGCCGCGTGAATTACAGAAAAGAAGATAGAAAGAGAGAAAGAGGGGGGGGGAGAGAGAGAGAGAGAGAGAGAGAGC